CCAGCTCGGGCGTGGGTCCTGCAGCCCCGCCCCGCAGCGGTAAAGAGCCGGCCGTGCAACTGTGCCCTCCCCCAGTTCCTGACCCACAAACCCAGACTGAAATGGTTACTAGTCATTGAGTTCCAGAGCAGTTCCCGTTACTTAGCAATAGATAATCACAACACTGATTCTGAAAATCGAAACATTAAACAAAACAGTTGAGAGGGGGTGGGGAGCCTCCAGACTGGGGGGGAGATGATTCATGTTAGACATTCTCTGTTTTACAAAGTGTTCTATAAAAAGAACAGCTTCCTTGTCTGTGTGGACACTGTTTACTTCCTTACTTACTATGAGAAAGAACCGAGGGAAAGGAATGTGCGTTGCCAAAGGTGTTTGAGGTAAAACCATCTTACAGGGAGGGGCCCGCGGGCCCGCAGACGTCAGGCGGGTGCTCAAGGTCTCACCGCCGGGCCCGGGCCGGAGCGAGCGAGGCCTGCTCCGCGGGCTCTCAGGCTTATGCTTTAAAACTGCTTCTTAACTTTGTGTTTTGTTTGTTTCTTTGTTTATTGCACTGCTTTGCAGGAACAAATCTGGTGACATATGTCCACGTTACATATTCAACATACATTGGCCTTCTCAGTAAAGGCCTGAAACAGAATTTTACAGGGGCCCAGAGAACATTCAGGGGCTCAAAATGTGGCACATTAATTACAAAACAATGAAGTTCCTCATCCTTTCCGAATTCATGTATAATGCCAAAATAATGGCTCTTCTTACGTTTTTGCCTCTGTATGCCTTCAACCCGTAATTGTCCTTGCACGCATTATACCCCCAGCATGTAAACATGCAGCAGTTTAAACGAAATGCACATTACAGTTCAGAGGACATAGTCTTTGTTTTTTGTTTTGTTTGATGATCACCAAACAATTTGGACTGCAACCATTCTTTGAAGACATGTATTTTTACAAAAACAAAACAAAACAAAAACAAAAACAAAACTTTCTGTAAGGTTTTTCCCTCCTTTTGTGTGATATGTCTAATAGTCTTTTAAAAGCTGATGCAAGGGTGGGAGGGTGGGTGGGTGGAGATGGAAGAGGGTATGGAGGGACAAATGGTGATGGAAAAAAGTAAATAAACATATCAGTGTTTAAAAAAAATAAAATTTAGGCAGAGACAAATGTATTTGAAAAAATAAATTAAAATTAAAAAAAATAAAATAAAATTTAAAAACACTGAGGCAAAACTACATTGTAAAATGTTAAGTTTAAAATGAATAGTCCAAAAGAATCGCTGCCTTTTTCCCCTTAATTGCTACTCATTTTAGTATAAATTTTAGAAATTATTTTTTCTTAAATTGCTGTTTATTGTGGTTTTTTGGTGCGTCCTCAGGACTGATCCTGAGGTGTGGCTGATTGAGGAGGAAGCGGGGCTCCTGGAGCCCGGCCAGTAGCAACCAGAGGAGTCACTTTAATCCACAGTGCGGATCCCTGCTTAACACCCTCCAACCGCTTCCCCTGTAAAGAGACTCCTACCACCGCCCGCTGGGCCACACCCTGGCCCCACCCCTGCCCCTCTTTCTGACTTCTGGGCTCCTTCACTCACCAGTGTGGCCAGCCTGGCCTTCTTCAGTTTTTAACTTTCTAGTTCTTCAAATGTGACAAACTTCTATGGTTGATATAAATCAGTTCTGGCTATTGTTGGGGGCATAACAAATGAACTCAACATTTAATGGCTTCAAACAATAATAATCACTTATTTTGATCACTAATCTACAATTTGGGCCATGCAAGGGAGGGGAGGCTTGTCTCTGCCCTGCAGGCCTCACAGGACATCATTTCATCAGAGGGCTGTGGGACCTGCCGTCGGCTGGGAGCCCGACAGGGCTGAGGGTCAGGGGCTTTGATTTCTCTCCACGGAGTCTCCCCATGTGACCTGTGCTTCTTCAGAGCGTGGTGTCTGGGTTCCAGGGCGAAAGCCCCAAGAGGGAGCCAAGAGGAGCGGTATTGTTGGCCATAACCTAGCTTTGGAAGTCACACGGTGTCACTTCAGCAGCATTCAGGTCATTGAGGCAGCCGCAAAGTCCCGCACAAGGTCAAAGGAAGAAACATAGACCCCGCCTCTGGATGGGGACTAGAAAGTTCTGGATGGGCAAATGGAACTGGAAATGTTGCAGCCATTTTTGGAAGTACAGTCTGCCACAAACACCCTTCACTGATGTGTGTGTATGTGTGTGTGTTTAAATCCTGTTTATACGAGCACTAGCATGATAAACTCTCTCTAAAGGTTACAGTCTTATGTGCCTTTGCATACTCCACAATTTCTCGTACAGTACTTCACACAAAGCTAATGCTTAATTATAATCTGGTTTTATATGAGTTGTAAGATATCCACGGTTAAGTCAACAATTTTTAAAAAACTAGAACCCCCAGATAATATCTTATCCTAAAAACCACTTGCACATAATTTTATCTTTGATTTTTCAGGCATCCCTTTAGAACCCTACAGTTTTTTCAGACAGTGGCATGAATTTCAACTGTCACGTTTCAGTCCTCGGAGGAAAGGCAGCATGCTGATCAGTTACACTCCCTATCAGTATATTCAGAGTGTGAAAATGAGAAAGGTGGCATCTGTGCTTTAGTGAAGTGGTATCTCTAGTTAACACTTCAGGACCCTATGGCAACAGACTTGGGAGTCAAAAGGTAAAATACAAGCCAAGTCCTGCAGTTAAAGGGCACAGCATCCAAGACTGCATTCTGCCCAAATCAGATGACAATATTTCAGAAATCATAAACACTTAAGGTATTGACAAATGAATCAGTGGACTTTCATGGAAGGTTTGATACAGTGGAGGGTTCGAAACAGACACATCCAGTAAGCATAAAAACAAGCAACAATCCTACATATGTTATTCAGGATGTTGAACCACCAGATTAAAAGAGCATTCCTCTGCCAGTTTTCTCACACTGGAACTGAAGAGAGGGATTATTCTCAAAATAATTGCAAATAAATTAATTGGTTCCATAAGCTTTCAGCATTCACAGGAAACCTCACATGAACTTTCAAAATTTTACAGAACCTGATGAAAGGCAGGTATATTTAACTATAAATTATATTTTCCTCCTAATTTGTCTTTGGTTAAACAAAAGTAGAGCAATATATCTGGATGACAAAAAGTCACACAGAAAAGGTAATAATGAATTAAAAACTAATAAGAGAAGAGGACAGCTGGGAGTTCTGGGCTGGCAATCTGGAAATTCTAGCTGTGCATTGGTCCTGGGGTGGGATGTCCACGTCAGCTCTGTCATGGGGTGTGCTTTGGGCAGGGCACTTCCCTCCCAAGCCTCAGCTCCCTCTTCTGTAAAACGGGCACACGTGCCTATTTCCAAGAACTGGTGTGAGGAGCTGATGACTAAGTCCTGTGCACCTGCTCTGGGAAATGCACAGCATTAGAGCCTTGGCCTCATTGACCAGGATCGGGATCCCCTGGAAGACTTGTTAGACCACAGATTTCTGGGCCCCCGCTCCTAGAGTTTCTGATTTAGCAAGTCGGGGCGGGCCCAGGAATTTGCATTTCTAACCAGTTCCCAGGTGCTCCTGGTGCTGCTGGTTTGGGGCCACCCTTTGAGAACCACTGTCTACATCACACCAAACTGGTAGGTGACTCTCTGCCTGGGGTGTGTCTATGCCTTCTCTTATTGCCCCCACCCCCGCCCACTAAAGATTTTATTTATTCACTTTTAGAGAGGGGAAGGGAGGGAGAAAGAGAGGGAGAGAAACATCAACATGTGGCTGCATCTCATGCGCCCCACTCTGGGGTCCTGGCCTTCAACCCAGGCATCCAACTGGAGATCCTTTGGTTCGCAGGTTGGTGCCCGATCCACTGAGCCACACCAGCGAGGGCTGTCTTCTCTTCTTATAAGGATACCAGTCACATCGAATTGAGGGGCCACCCGACTCTAGCATGACCTCATCTTAACTTACATCTGACTCACCTCTACCAAGACCCCATTTCCAAATCAGGTCACATTCTGAGGCCCTAGGGGTTAAGACTTCACGGTCTCTTTTAGGGGAACACATTTACCCAAACATCCTCCAGCTCCCGGGAAGCCTTCAGCTCAGTACAGCCACAGCCTCCTGAGAGGCTCAGAGCCAGAACCACCCAGCTAATCCACTCCCCTCTCCCTGACCCACAGGCACTGTGTGAATAAACCATGTTTGTGACTGTTTTAAGCCGCCGAATGCTGGGATAACTGTTACGTGGGAATAGGCCAGTAACACAAGGAAGGAGACTCGGCAATGAAGAGTGAGGCTCCGGTCCTACTCATAGACTTTCACGTCACGTCAGCATCTGTGTTCAGTCAGGGCCTCTTTGGACGTTTCACACTACTAAAACTTTCTTAGAAGTTTTGTAATACATAAATCCACTTTGCTGAGAAAATCTTTGTTGGTGTGGTGAGTGCTTGAGCATTTCTGAATTTCACTGCAAATCCAAGCAGCTGACTCACCGCTGCCCTTCTCTGGGCCCCGCTTCTGTGGCTGGCCCCCTCCTAGGTCCCCAGCTGGCGCCCTGACTGGCTGTTCTTGGGTCAGGTGCTACTCCCGGTCCAATGCACGACGGCCACAAGGCACTGAGCAGGGCCACCTGTGGGTGAGGGGCGGCCCAAGGTGGCTTTCCCTCAGCAGTGGCTGCAGGCAGGCTGTCCCCTTGGGCACTGCCTGGGCGCTGGGACTAGACCGGCTGTGAGCGGGGCGTGGCTTGCCTTCTCTAGGAACAGGCCTTTTTAAGTCCTGTGTGAGCCCAGCTCATTTGTCTCTCACTTCCTCTGTGAGGAAAACCACACAGACTGGCCCAGCTGCTCCTGCACCAGACCGCATGGACCAGGCCACTTCCCCCAAGGCTGACTTGACTGAAAATACAGTTGATTTCCTGCCTCAATGTTATTGTCAAGATTGCCATTTGCTTCCTGAATTTCAGGATGGCAGTTGACAAAAGCATATCACAGCCATTAGTCATAGGCATATTTTTTTTTTTCTGAAAATGATTTATTTTACTCATTTTCCCCTCCTCTACTTTGTTCTGCTGTCTGGCAGCTACTTCTTCTTCTTCTTCTTCTTTTTTTTTTTTTAAGATTTTATTTATTTATTTTTAGAGAAGGAAAGAGAGGGAGAGAAACGTCAATGTGTGATTGCCTCTCATGTGCCCCGCACTGGGAATCTGGCCTGCAACCCAGGCATGTGCCCTGACTGGGAATCAAACCGGTGACCCTTTTGTTCGCAGGCCAGCGCTCAATCCACTGAGCCACACCAGCCAGGCCTACCTACTTATTTTTATTGTAAAAATCATTTTGTTTTACTGCCATTGTTTAGTTCCTCCTAGTTCCTACGTCATGAGCAATTAGTTCTAAATTGTCAATAGGAATTCACTAAGGAAAGTTGTAGGTGTTCCGCTCAGAAGGGCAGAATGTGCATCCAGCAGGTGCTTCGTAAATGTTTACTGGGTCAAGCATTTCCACCAAATCTATATTTAGGTCTAGCCTCTCTGTCTCTTTCTCAGGCTGATTTGAATCATCTTGGCAAGAAGCAACAATATGCATTTTTAAGATAATTTCTGTCCCCTGGGGCTGGGGTAGGGAAGCTAAATGCGTGGCAGCCAACCACATCCGGAGCCACACGTTCCTGCCAGCTCACCCTGCTGGGGCAGCCTGCACCAGGGAGGGCCGGCCGGCTCTCTCATCTGGTGGGAGAGGCCCGCTCCCACTCCAGGGGCATGTCCCAGGGCTTCCTCAGGAATCCGAGTCATTCCTGCTTATTCCCTGAAGACGTGACTCATTCCAGGCCTTTGTGGGCAAGTGGTGAGTCAGCAGGGACTTTGCTTCTTTCCCACATGGATTATTCAATACACAGTTCATGAATGAGAAAACTGGGGCATAACGAGGTGTAAGTAAGTTGCCCAAGGTCTACGTGGTGAAGAGTAAACAGTGAGGCTAAGACAGTGAGCCTGGTCAATCTGACCCTAGGACCTATGTTCTTTACCATCCTGCCTAAAAGCCAGGAGAAGGCCTGGACACTGCACGGGGATGTGGATGAAATTTCATTTTTTACTTCATATAATTATGTTCATGCATATGTTGCTTTTAAAAACCTAATGTAAAAAGGGGACTCTCGCTAGCCCTGGTTGGGTGGCTCAGTTGGTTGCAGCATCGCTCCATACACCAGCAAGTTGTGGGTTCCCTCCCAGGTCAGGGCACATACCTAGGTTGCAGGTTCAATCCCCAGTCAGGGAGCGTACTGGAGGTAACCAACTGATGTTTCTCTCTCTCTCTCTCAAATCAATAAACATACTCTCAGTTGCAGATTAAAAGGGGTAGGGGGGGATAAAACTAAATAGCCACAACATTGAAGAGGCAAACCACAGATGGCTAATTATCCAACCTCTTTAAAAAGTATCCATTTTCCACTTAAAAATGATTGGAAACAGTTATTATGCATAGAGTCAAAATGACTTTGAAATGTCCGATAGAAATAATGTTGAAATGAGTGGCCTAACCATGTCTTCACACACCGAATATGATGATTTCGCATCTGGAACTAATATGTGGGGGTCCTTGCTCTGTACGTGGTGGGCTCTCCAAAACACCAGGTGAGTGATTAAATAAATGAATGACTAAAGTGGGCCACTGTCCACAGCAGTTCTGGCAACTCCTTTGCAAGAGGTACAGTGTCTCTCTGCAAATGGAAGGCCCTTCTCGGGGGCAGGAGGTGTGGCATTGAATTCTACCAGCACCATCCCATCCTGCACAGCTGGACAAGAGCAGGCCCTCGCCCAAGGCTAGCATGATTTATGAAGGTCCCTGGAATCCCGGGTGAGCCACGCTGTGTGGAAGGACTCCTATTACTCATACCTTCCTACTGCTGCCCCTCTCTTCAGCACTTTTTTCCATTGCCCCTTCTCTCTGGGGCGCTGCATTCCTTCTTTCCAGTTATGGTGAGTCCAGCTGAACACATCCTGTTTACTGACAGAAAGGCAGATGTGAGGAAAACTGCCCTTCTGTTTGTACAAGCTGCTTCAAAAGCCACTATTCTGGTGTCGCTGGTGGCTCTGCTGTTACCATTTCCTCTGGATAGAAGAGGGCCCCACGGAAGCCATTTCTGTTGCAGCTTTTGCTTTGAGAGTTTGTTTCTTGTCTTAGAAAATGTTTGAGGTCCTGGGTGTCACTGATCAACAAAACAAGAAAAACACACACCCCCCTGTCTTGTGGGTGTGTAAAATATAAACTGTCACTTACTTTGTTTTAGCTCTTTTTTTTAACTCCTCACCTGAGGATGTGTTTATCGATTTGAGAGAGAAAGGAATACTGATGTGAGAAACATCCATCGGTTGCCTCCCACACATGCCCCAACCAGGGATCAAACCCACAACTTAGGAACATGCCGTGACTGGGAATCGAATGCACACCCTTTTGGTGTACAGGACAATGCTCCAAAGAGCTGACCCACTGCGCCAAGGCTGTGTTAGCTCTCACAACTAACTGTGTAGCAAGAGATTTGCTAGAGAAAAGTGTGGCTTGGAAAAGATAGATGCGGGTAGAAAATACCAGAAAATGTCGCAATGATTTGCATGTAAGAGGAAGAGACACAGGGTGGAATCTGCTTCCCCTATTTCTTCCCACAGCTTCCAGGATGGCCAGAGGTGGTCCCAGTGCTGTGAGCTGTGGCCTAGGCAAGTTCGGGGCCATCCGCACGGTAGCCAGAGCCCTGTCCCTGGTTCTCAAAGTCCCTCTCATACAATCGCCCATAGAGGGCTGCTGTCACCAGGCCAGAGGACAGTCTACTCTTTCTCAGGAAATAGTGGTTGTTCTCCCACCCGAGCTGGTCAGGGGTTTCCAGGGTCATGCCTGAGGTCAGAAACAGAGGAAAGATATAGGGTGTGCTGAAGTTTCCCCACAGGTGAAAATCAAATAGCCCCGTGGCCTCTGTGATCTCCTGACCACAGGTGTCAAAGCCGCGACCCCCACACTTGACCAGGGCGCAGACTTGCACATAGTAAGTGCCATGCACGGTATGAAGGCCATCGAAGACCCCCAGGGCATACAGCTCTTTGGACAAAGTGGGCCTCTGGTAACGTAAATAACAGCAGAGGCCGTTGGCACAGACACTGAGAGAGCCTTCCCTTCCCCACACGGGGACCAGGGTGAAATTGTCATACATCATCTCGGAGTGAAACGTGGGAGGAGCATTCACGTTCCATCTGGTGGTTCCATTACAGTGGACTTCCTGAGAATCCCTCTCACAATATGGGTCACCTGCCAAGATTTTTAAAAATTCACTATGGGATGGGTCCATTTTATCTGTGGTGTTCTCTGTACCCACAAGGCCCTGTGGATTTTTGGCTACCTGGGCAATTATAAGGTGACCTGTGAAGTGTTTCATGTCATGGTGCCACACGGACTTCAGAGGTGAGTGAATGCCGCTTCCGGTCATGCCCAGAGCTGGGTGGTGGATATTAGCGGCCAGGAAGTTGACACCAAAGGCTATGGCGAAAGCCCTCTGAATCTGAATAGCCGTCAAGAGCGGGAGCTGGTTCATCCAGGCGGCTGGATACACAATGTGCTTCACCCCAGTATCTCTGAGCAGACTGACGGCGGGGTGGAAGAACAGTATGTCAAAGCAGGTGAAGATGCCAAACTTGCCAGCAAAAGGGGTATCAAAGGTAATGTAATCCACCTGGTAAGGGGTATCAAAAGCTGCCTCAAAATAGAGGTTGTATTTGCGGTAGCGGTCTACGAGGGTTCCGTTGTTGCTGAACACGACGTTCGTGTTAAACTGGTATCTTCCATCCCTCGGGCACCTCGGGTCACTGCTAAGACAAGGCTCCTTCGTCCCAAGATTGGCTACCAGGAACATGCCTCCCTTCATGGCCATACAACTCAGGCGCTGGAGGACCTAGAGGGGAAAAGAAGGAATAAATAATGGTATAAATAAATGGATTTTTAAAATCCTACCTTTTACTTTATAATTTTTAAGTAGAAAAGTAGCTGTATTGTGTCCATAATATATACATAACTAACCTAAATCAATTAAAAAGCAACCACTACTGAAAGTGTACAAAGGATATGAAGAACTCGTAAAATAGATACAAATGGCCAACAAACATCCGAGAAGATGGTCAACCTTATTAGTACTAAGGAAATGCAAATTAAAATAATGAGATATATTTTTCACCTTCATAATATTGGCAAAAATGCAAAAGATTATTCTATTTTACGTTGACCAAAGGCTGAGAAAACAGGTACTCATACACCACTACTGGGAATGTAAAGCGAAATCAAAATCTTTTAAAGCGGAAATTTGGTACTCTTTAAAATAATTTAGGAGAAGGCTGGAGGTGGGGGGGACGTGGAGGGTTTGTGCAAAAATAAAAGAGAAAGGACTCACGGATGTGGACAACAGAGGGGTGACCGCCGGGGGACGCGGGCCTAAGGGACATGCCGGAGGGATGGGGGGATAGATGGTGAGGGATGGACACCTGACTTGGGGTGGTGAACACACGCTACAGTGTACGGATGGTGTGCTGTGGCATTGTGCCCCTGAAACCTGCATAATTTTGTTAACCAATGTCACCCCAATAAATTCAATTTTTAAAAAAAATTTTAATGTGCCTATCCTTCTGCTGAGAAATTCCAGTTCTAGGAATCTCACCTGACAGAAAAACATAGACATTTTACAAAAATATGTGTATTCATTGAGACATTGTTTATAATAGCAAGAGTTTAAAAAAAAAATAAGCCTATAGCATATTAAAAAGAAAAAAGAGGATGTCAATTATAAAACGCACAGAGAAGAAGAGATATTTGGAGGCACATCATATTGTTGATGGCAGTTTCTCTAGGAAGGGAAGCAGGGTGAGGGTTGGGGTGCGGTGACAGTGGGCTTTTATTTATTTTCTGTTTGTCTTATAAGCATGTATTCATACATTTCTTGTGTAATTAATAAATAGAACAATCCATCGATGAGTAAATGCTTCGTTATATCAGACATTCTTTAACAGGATGAATGTGTGGCACATGGAGTTTGAGTTTCATTTTTAGGATCCCAGGGTCCCCTTTCAGTCTCATGTAACATGCCTTGGCTTTTGGCCCCTGGCTTGGTTCATCTCTGATGCCTTCAGCCTACAGAGGAGGAAGTCTGGGATGCTCACACACCTCCGTGTCATTGAATCGACGGGGCTCCAGGCATGGGTTCCACCTGACCAACTGGGGAGATGGCATGAAGTCCAAATAGGGGTAAATGGATGTTCTTGTAAAGTTGAATCCATGAATACCATCTTCTGGAAACACTATAATCTGTACACCCTGTAAGTCAAAAACATCAAGATATGTTATCAGATAATGGGAAGCACCACTTCATTCATTTATTCATTCCTTCATTCATTTACCTGAGAGCCATCAAGCAATTGCTGTGTACCAGGAACCAGAGGTTAAAACAACGGCGGCTGAGCTCTCATCAGGGGACCTTAGTCTGAGGGAAGCCACCTCACTTGGCTTCATTCTGAGGGAAGGAAGGCAAAGTCCTCTGGGAACAACCATGTACCTGGGGGCATGTCCAGGGAGGGAGGGTTGAAGGGACCAGGGGGTTGCCAAGCAAGCAGTCAGGGTTCCGGAGTTCGTGGTGGAGCAGCGCGAAACGGGGCCAACTAGAAAAGGTCTTGAGTACTGGGCTCATTAACAGACGTAGTATCTCCAGTCTGTTGGTTCATGTGGCGTTCAAATCAGATGGGGGACTTCTGGGGAAAAAACCAACAAAAACACTCTGTGTGTAGGAGTGATGCTGGTGCCCACCACAGGAAAGTCTGCTTCCATTGATCGTGGGTGGGGTCCTGGCAACGGTGTTTGTTTAATTGCTCCTAGGTGACTCTAGCACAGCTAAGGTTGGGACCCACTGGGCTGGTGTTGGTTACAGCATAGAAACAAGGACTTGCTCTACCATGTAATTCTCCAGCTGGGAATTAGGAGGCTCCCTTCAGAATCCTCACCACACCGCAGGCCTTATCCCCAACCAGGAGACACGTGGGCCCCCTGTGGTGTCTGCAGCCGCCCAAGAAAATCCAAACAGGGCGGCCCTCAGCTTTCCGTGCCCGGGCCTCCTGCTTCTGCTATTCTCCACTGAAACGGCTTCAAATGTCAAGCCTGGGACATTGGCCCAAGTGGAAGGGGCGGAGGAAGGCAGGGAAGGCATGACTAGTCTAAAATAACGGGCAATTTGAGTCACTTATTTCTGGAATGCACTGAAAACTTTCTGTATAACTTTTTTTCCCCTGGTTACAAAAGCTTCAAAAGTTTAACTGTAGAAAACCTGGAGACGAGAAAATATAAAGTAAAAATTCATAATCCTACGACATAAAGATACTTATTGTTAATATCGTGAATATTTTCACTCTCTGTTTAATTTAAAAATATATGGTTTTCCGTCTTGACTTTCTCACTATATAAAACATCAAGACAAGAAAGACACCTTCAAAAATGTAATTCCTAATGGCCCCATTTAATTTAAGAGGACACCACAGTTTGTCCTCTATTATTGAACAGTTGAATTGTACTGAACAAGTGGAATATTCCAACTTGTTATAAAAAGAAAACTATGGCGACCATCTGGGTACAGGGTGTTCAAAACACTTAATGAATGAGTGCTGTACACAAATCTTTGTTTGGATCTCTGATTATTTTCTTGGAATAAAATCTTAAAAGTGAAAGTACTAGGTCAAGGGTATAAGTTGTATGGTCTTTTTTTCTTTTTCTTTTTTAAGTTGTGAGGTCTTAACATACATTGCCAAATAGCTTTCCAGAAAGACTGTACAATGTATACTCCCTGTAGCAGAGGGGGGAGTAGCCATCTATAGCACAATGTAAAGAAAATTTTTTGCAAACTTGTAAATAAAGCAAGATGAGAATGTATATCTTTCCGAGATATACCAGGGTACTAATTAACCTCACTCAAAGGCTACTTATCTAAGCAATGTACCACAGTGTGACTTTCCTAGTTAACAACACATTACACTAATGATTATGATTTTATTGCCCTGCAGGACGTCAGCTAGTTTAGTACCTATTGACAAATTCATTTCAACATTCATTTCTCTGACTGACACTCAGTATTCTCTGTTGAACCAGCTCCACCATCTTATTGGTTCCTTCATAAATTAATGAGTTAAATAAAAGCCTTGACACATGTTCATTCCATGTTTGTAGGACTCATGTTTTTAACCTTTTGAAAATTATACTTGGATAATTTCCTTTAGTAAAAACAAAACTGTGAGAGCATTGAATTTTTTAATAGAAAATGAAATTTAAGTTATCTGTAGATATTAGATTAATATTAAAATTGCATTGGATTCCCTGAATATGTATCTGCCAGGAATGAGCAGGAACCAAACCTGAGCTGGGGCAGAACTTTGGGTCTGATGTGATTGCCAGTCCTTTCTAGGGACATTCTAGGAAGGAACATTCCTAATAAAAGACTTGAGCAATTTTCTGATAAACTCAGTGAGTTCAAGAGCTCCTGCAGTTACGGTTGACAACCCAAGTGACAGCCGTGTAAAACCTGTGAGTTGGACTCTTTTCTTCCCTATAAACACCTCTACCAAGGGAGGAATTTTTCAATTGGTTTGTTCAGGAACCTCTACCCTTATCACAAGTTCGATATAAAACTCTGACACATGCTTTGCATCAAAATCTTAGAAGTTGCTTTAACACATATAATTACACAGGACAGCCAAGATATCTATAAACACTATAAACACTCAGATCTGCCCTGGCCAATGTGGCTCAGCTGGTTGGGCATCGTCCTGTGAACTGAAAGGTCACCAGTTCGACTGTCAGTCAGGGCACGTGCCTGGGTTGCAGGTTCAGTCCCCTGGAGCACCTACCAAAGACAACCAATTGATGTTTCTTGCCTTCTCTTTCTCCCTCTGTCCCCTCTCTCTAAAACAAAAAATAAAATGTTTTTAAAACATAAAAACACTCAGGTCAGTAGCTTTGTCCCTGCTCCTGGACCACGAATAGAGAAGGAATGCTGCTTTGGAGCCAGCATGGGTTTGACAAAAACATGCTACATGTTTCATCTGGGGGCAGGTTATAAAACAGAGAGGGTGGCTACAGTCACAGTCTCTGGGTTTCCAGATGGCAGTCGCCAAGTGTCGTAGATGGTCTTGTGGGCAGGGTGGAGTAGAGGCGGGTGACATTCAGTGTCATGCAAGCAGACACCTCTGTGCAGAGAACGCTCTGGGGCGGATCTGCGTCATCAGGAGGTCTCAGGGCAGAGCCTGGGGTGTATTTATATGTAGATATAAGTGAGGTGTCCGTTAAATGTGTGAATGATGAGAAGGTAACTGATATGCTGAAATTTCACAGCATAAATGTGAAGTCTTGCTGTCACGTTAAACAAATTCCATCAGCACAGGAAGGCAATGGTGGCATCCATTGCTTGTCTGTGTGTGTGTGTGGAAAAGGCTCAGAAGTTTAGTTGACAGCGAGTGCCTTACGAATGCACAGTGAGATGTGGCTGCAGAAAGCTTTCTGGGGACAAGAATAGAATGAGAATGGAGACAGATCACCTCCGCCCTGGCCTCAGGTAGAATCAGGAGCACAAAGACAACTAGGAAGGTCTGAAAACCTCTCTCAAGGAACTGTGGGGTGGAACCAGTGATGCATAGCCTGGGGGAGAGCTGTCGGGGTGCGGGGTGCCCAGGACCGGGGACGGTGGCACACACGGTGAAGGCCTGAGCCTGTTCTGTTTAGCTTGGGTCCATGGGTAGTTGTTACAGGGAGGCTGCCTGTTGCTCACTGAAAGGAAGACCTTTCCAGAATTGCCGGCTGACCTCAGGTAGAACCAGACCATCTGTGAGGCAGGAGATCTAGGCCATTGAAGGTGTTCAAGGAGGGCCCTGGCCAGTGCAGCTCATTTGGTTGTGAGTAGCCGTATAAGTGGAAAGGTCATGGGTTTGATTCCTGGTCAGGACACATGCGTAGGTTATGGGTTCCGTCCCTGGACAATATGTGTATGAAAGACAACCAATTGATATTTCTCTTTCTCTCTCTCCCTTCTCCTTTCTCTAAAATCAAGAAGCATGTCCTCGAGTGAGGATTTAAAAAAAGAAAGAATGATCAAGGAGAAACTGGATGTCAGGGGTCAGGTTGGGAACAAAACGGAGGAGTGTTACCCATCAGAAGCAGCTGGACCAGGGCGTTACCTTTTTACACTCCCTTTCCACGTTAGTTGTGGGCGGGCGCCTCCTAGGCTAGGATTTTTAAAGGTAGCCATTACGCAGTGGCTGTCCAGGCAGCCCTGTCCGCCCTGAGCAGAGACAGGGACGGTTTGGGGCAGGACCTGTTGGCATGACTGCTTCTGCCCTCTAAGCTCACAGACACAGGGAGGCTCTGCTCCTACGGAGGCAGCGCAGGGCTTCCTCCAGCCGCTGGGCTCCCGCGCCCGACCACCGGGGTTAAAGCCCAAACTTCCCTTTGCTTATGGGTTTCCCACCAGGGAACTTTCTTACAGTAACATCTGGCACCGACATTTCCTTCTCTGCCCCACCCTTCCTGGCAGGAGTTGGAAACGCAGGACAGGCAGGAAGCCTTCACAAAGGCTGGCACCGACCTTCCTTTGTCCTTTGGGTTCAGTTCTGTCTGGACTGAGTTCTCAAGACTGTTCACCGTCTGGCACTGAGACCAGAAATGAGCCCCAAACAATCTGGAGGCAGCAAACAGCAGCCCCGCGGACGCCTGCTATTTCGGTTCTGCTCCGAACGCCCCCGAGAGAACGACCGGCAGTCACGCCAGGGTGGTTTTCAGGTGTTCGGGCGGCAGAATCCACGGGGAGGCGGCCTTTGAAGTGCGAGCCGCCAGAGGGCGATGGGGGCGGGGCAAGGGGGAGAACTGGGCGGGGCGGAGGTTTTGTATTGAGGGCCCGGGTGATGTTTGGTATTTATGCCCTGCTACTGAAATATGAATGAGTGAATTGTCCCTATTTCTGATGATGTCGGTATTGTACAGAGACAGGTTCATAAAGTAGTGACCAAATCTTCCTTTCTTTCCATGTGTTTTCCTAAGAAATAGAGCCAACTGATTTTGTATATAAATATTAAGGGCAATTTACCTGGTACTAAACCCGCACCCCAGTGCAGCCCTTCCTGCCCTCGCCCCACACCCTTTCCGAATGTTCTGGAACCTGTCCCCAGCGTGTGACTCCTCCCTGGTTCTGGCTGGGGTCAGCAGATCCCAGCGAAGGGTTTTGTGTGTTTAGGCATCATTTCTTTGTCTTTTTCCTACTGTTCCTGGAATTTGCTGATTTCTAGTGTATACTCTGTACTCTCAGTCCGTGTTTGATTCCGTTCCATGAGGAAAAAAAAAAGTAGGTAATGCATATACAAAAAAAAAAAAAAAAAAAAAAAAATCCCCAATGCCCAGCCCATGGCCCACCCGACAACGCAGGGGCGGAACGGAGGCACCCACGTCTGTTCACAGCTGGCCGCGCAATTCCTCCACGCAGCCACACTGGGGAACCGGGGATCTAGCCCTGGCTCCTCAGACTTGAGGTAAAAAGCATCACACGGGGATCTTGCGAAAATGTGGGTCTGACTCAGCAGTATGGGTCGGGGCCCACATTCTGCATTTCCCACAGGCCCAGAAGGGCTGCTGAGGCTGCTGGTCCCTGGACCACACTCCGAGCAGCGACACTCCTGCCAACTGACTCCTTGCACTTGGCTTTACCAACCGCGCTGACTTTCCACTGGGGCTGCGGGAACCCCCCACCGAGGGCTAGCCGCAACTCTCCCCGCTCCCGGAGACAAACTCGGGCTGTAACGCAGGAGTGCGCCTTGCCTTTTGGGCTGCAGTCATCACTTGCTGTTCGTAGATGTTGAGGTTCTTGTTCATCAGCTCCAAGGCCTGCTTGCGGCTGGTGAGGGCTCGAGGGTTCGGACTCAATATCAGCTGGTGCTCATACACCGCGGCCACGTAATAGCCAGTGTCTCGACCTGCAGCCACGCAGCACACCCCCGTGTGGACTCCCAGGGCCACCGCGTAACAGCCGCAGATGAAAAGAGCGAGGGGGTGGCCGGCTCCAGACATCGTGCAGACCGTCAATCTGGAATGTAACGAGGCCACGGGAAAACAGCTGAATAAAGACGCCTGCCAAGAATTTAACTTTTGCAACTGTGATTTATTAATTCCCAGCAATTAAACTCACCCACCGTGGTACTGCCGCTCAAAGAGCTTGTTTCATGTTCCTAATAAAAGGGTCTGTGTTTCTCTCCAAACACGTAGCTATGTTTAAAATGGCTCACTGTGTTAATAGCCTGGTTTGAGAACATTTCCAAATCAGACCCAGTGTTTGTGTGACTAATCTCTTCTCTAGCTGCACACTTATGTTTCGGGCAATAATAATTATGCTGATTGTTTTACATAATTCTGTGCCCTCTTCCGCACCCCACGACCAGCCCTCTATGCACACACACGCACAGTATAGGTCACTCGTCTGCCCCTGCTATGACAGCCGCGCTCCTAATGGCACAGCTTGGCTTTCCTAGTCGTAAAAACTGGGCAGATGGAAATTCTCCCTGCATTCCTTCGGTTAGTAATGAATATACAGGGTAAGGCTCCCTTTACTCAACACAACATTCTTTATTTTGTGAACAGAAACTGCTGGCTTCCACTTGAATGCCAGGATCGACTCTGTTAATGAACCGATAAAAAGAAGACTCCCAACCAAATCGTGGGTTTTTTTCCTCCTTGAACTTGCCAATGGCCATTGCACATCGTCTCTTCTCAAACTCTGTCTCTGTGACTCCAAAACTCTTGCTAGAAAGCATACTCATTTGAAAAGAAAGTCCTTTTGCAGTGATAAAATGCAATCTTCTAGAAAATAAACTAGAATTTTTCTAGAAAGTAAACTCAGCTTTGTAGCTCCCACCATAAGAGATTAGAAGTAAATGATGTCACTTAAACAATGACACTTCTGACTGCTTCCCCCACCCCCCCCCATGAACAGGAATTTTTATTTGTAATCATGAGTTACTGCATGTTTTACAGTGAAGAGTCCAATTCTGCCTTAGCATCGGCCTGGCCTCCCAGCGGCAGCCTCTCCCGGGTGCAAATCAGCCGGGTGGTGCGCCAAGGCCCCGCCACGTGCTCTGTGGGGATGTGCTGTGGCTGACCAACTGCCCAGGAATCTGGACTGAACACCAGGAGAACAGAGACAAATCGAGGAATCCTGTTGCCGTTCTTTAAAAAGAAAAAGGACACCCCGCCCAAGTCTGACTCATAACCCCCATGTTTGCACTTCAAAACCAAGATCTCCAGGCTGCACATTTCTTTTTTCTTTTTTTCTTCTCAAAGGTTCCAGAAACAAAAGTAACCATAATTATTTTCAGCACTAAAACAAAGACTAGGGGTGCTCAGTCATTAGCCTCAGAAAATCAAATACTTGTCAGAGTAAGCTGTGCTCTGCCCCCCAACACTGCCCACTCGCAGGGTTACTGCTTTCCCCAGGGAATAAATGTACCATCCACATACCAAACCCCAGGACTTGCTGCCATTCATCGGAGACACTGTCAACAATGTTTTAAGATTAGAACAAGAGGCCTTTGAGCGAGCAGTCATGAGTTTCTGAGTAGAAACAAAAGTATAATTGATAAGCTTTCTTATCTGAATTTTGCCTCCGAAGACCAACCAGCAAGGAATAATTTTAAAAGTCTCAAAATCTCTGCTTTTATAAAGATGACCATGGGGACTGGTTTGGGTGGGGGGAAGTGTCATTCTCAGTCACAGTCACAAAATTTCTAACGTATAAGGCTATGGCCCCCCCTAGGAAGTGGGGAAACTGAGGCTGGGGTGGGGTGGAGAGGGGAAGGGCCAGGAGGCATTCCAACCAATGCCTGGTGGAGGCGGGTCAGGACTCCCCGGGGCCCAGAGCGGCGGTCACAGCAGCTTTGGCGTTCAATGAACAGCCGCATGCCACCAATCTGGGGACACAGGCCATTTGTCTAAGTCTCACCGACTTGCAAGCCAGCAAAACAAGGAAACTGTGGAAACAACAAGATATCACATTGCTTTCTATCTTGAGAAAATAAAATTTAGCTTATTTACAGAAGAAGCTGGGTAGGAGAGCTGTGAGTGGAGCTCATTTGTGTGTGAACCGAGGTCGGTTGATAATAAGAGGCTGTGCAGAGTCTAACAGGTACTCATGCTTGAAAGAAGCAGGCTTGATGAGGAAGGTGAGAATGAGTAATGACATTAAAAATAGGAACAAGAGTTTGCCCTTCTGAAGAGTGGGGAAATATAGCACACACTTTAACCAAAGTTGCAAATGCTGGCTCTCTCTCTTTATCTGGCACTACACAACCCTCTCAGGGGAAAAAAAAAACACCACCAAGCAAGGTCCAGGCGGGGACTCTGAAGGGCACAGCAGACAGGATTGGAGGGGACAGTTTCCAAGGTTACCAGGTGCTGGCTCATGATGCCATGCACAGGTGGACTAAGGGGTGTGGGGGTTTCCTGGGAACAAGGGGGCTCTGGAAAGTCATGAGGTTCTTGGAAATCCAGCAACTGACCCACCTTTGGAGCTGGCCAAGCTTCCAGTGGCCATAAACAAATGGTCACCACAAGAGTGTGCTGGTCTCTTAACAGTGCCGATGCGCCCTCTGGCGTTGGAGGGCACTTGACAGGTGAGATTAAATTCCAGGAAGGGTCCAGTGTGAATGCACCAGGGAGGTGACAGTGTGCTTCCACACCCTGCTGGACACGCTCAGCTCATCACAGCCCTCCGCGATGGGGGCGCGGGCCTGTGAGATGCTCTGAATCCCACTGCCAGGAAACAGCAGGACCAGGAGGGCTCACTTCAGACACCATGGGCACCGGGCTGCGTGCCAGATACAGGTGTAGGCGTCAGGGATACAGCAGCGAAGAAGCCCGGCCCTTACTCACGGAGCGCCCACTCTGCGTGTATGGAAAGACAGAGGACCACAATCTAATAAATACCAAGTGTGTCAAATGGTGATAAATGCAGAGGACAAATAAAGACAGGAAAGGGGGAGGGAAGGGCCTGGCCTGAATGAGGGGCAATTTTAAACAGTGTAGTTGAGGAAAGCCTCAACGAGAAGGTGATGTCTGAAGGTGAGAGAGGAGTCTGTTGGGATGCTTGGGGAAGAGTGTCCCACGCAGAGGAAATGGCTCGTTCAACCCACGTGGACGCTGGCCAGGTGGGTTCAAGAAACAGCAAGGAAAACAGCTGGCTGGTGCCCAGGGACCAGGGGAGGGCAGCAGAAAATGCAGTCAGTCAGATAAAGAACAGGGGACCTCTCCCTGGCCTCTGTACACCTCCCCGTGTTTGCCACTCTCCTCTTTATTCTCATCTCATTAGAGGAACCGGTAAGATCCAGTTAAAGCCTGAGTCAATCACGTCAATCACGACACTCCTGTGCTCAAAGCTTTTCAGTGACTCCCTGCTGGGTACAGAGTAAAAGCCTGAGACCTTTTTTGTGCGCCAAGAGGAAGACCCTGTGGACAGGAAATCACGGATGGGTGGGAAGAGCATGCCCGGAGGGGCATCTTTAGCAAGCACGCTCATCTTTTAGCGGTGCTACCGGAGCCTCTGTTTCGTATTTCAGAGGGAAACATGTTCCCCCAACACTAATCCTAATCAGGAAGCCTCTTGCGATCTGTGAGGAAAAGATATCAAAGTCTAAATTACATGGAAACCTATTTTGTGGAAATTTGGTTAACATGTCGATCACCAGATTATTTTTACACCCAAGGAACTATTTTATTTTTCCACCTTGTTAAATGATTCGTCTTGATAATTTGTTGTGTTTGCTTCCTAGGCACGCTGGTACAATAGTGTCTTCTGCAAGGAAATGAAAGGATTCTGATTAAGGTTTCCTTAAGATAATTTCAGAGGCAGGCATATACATTTTAAAATTTATATATAGACCTATTGATCTTGTTAACAGAAGAACTTGTGACTCTACTTGTCAGGGAGAATAGCGGTCCCATGACTGGGAAAGGAGGCAGAAGACGTCGGCAGAGGAAACATCACAGCCTGTGGAGCAAAGCCTGAGTAAGTCGTCAGGAGGCAGCTGAGTGTGTGTTTCTATGTGTATCTGACAGGATGCCAAGAAGCACATTGTGAATTAAAGTTCCGAACAGTTTTAAACCTATTCTCATGAATTGTGTGATTTCCATGTGTAAATCTTTCCTCAGAAAAAGGAGAAATAATGTCCACCTCCACCGAATTTACAGAACCTGAATTTAAAGAAATCCCCGAAGAGACCTTTCATTTCCTAGAAAGCCTCTTGTTTTCCGCTTCTCCCTCTGGCGATGCTGGGGGTGAGCATATCGGTGACCGGCGTCTGGAACAGGCAGCCCCACAATGGTTTTTGCTTGAACAGCTTCAGGCAAACCCAAGCATCACCAAGATTTTTGATGTCTCAGTGAGAGATGTCAAGTGTAATCACCAGTGAGCAGCCCCTGGTGGTGAGGTCAAAATTCAAGGCTGAACTCACAAGAAGTAGTGAACTAGTTACCAAGTCCTCTGAGTTGAACTGCTAAGTTGCGATTTCACTTTTTAAAAAATTCCAACTATTTATCTTCCAAAGAGAGTGATATATGCAAGTGTAACTTTGCACTAGGCCTTTGCTTAGGGCCTATTTCTACTCTGTTGACTAGAGTAATTTGCCTTAGAGCAACCAAGGGAACATGATTCTTTAACCTAAATATGTCATCCTTCTTCTCTCAAAGGGGAAATTACCTTCATAATTTAAGTCATATAAAACTTCTCCCTGAAATGCCCAGGTGTTTAATGCAAGAAGGTGCTTTCATTTTGTGTGGACAGAAAAAAATCCAGCTGAGGCTGATTCCACAGGTTTGCTACTGCCACCCCGTGGACAAACTGAGTATCATTATCCCAAGTAACATAATAGAGTGATTCTTAAGGAATAAATGGATGATGGCTTTCTCCCACCTTTCCTTAATTTCCAATACTTCAGCTATCTCTTTTACAATGGGGAAAATAGAAAATATTGGATTTTCCAAGATTCAGGGCTCATGAAAGCTGTTTTTTATCTGCCATGCACCCAGGACCTATTGCATCTTCTATATTCACAAATTCTTGTATTTGTTGCGATTTCGTATAACCGTGCACTCCAAGGGTGTGGCTGGAGTGCAAAGCGATGCAACCCCTCCACACTGTGACAGACAGGACAGTGCATGGAGAAACCTGGCGGAGTTCAGGGATCTACAGCAACAAGTTTTTATATTGATACCACATTGCATTTTACACGTTGCATGTTACTATTTCAAGCCATTGTGACATCCATTACTTCATTTTCTCTTGCTGTCACATCAAGCAGTGAAAGCAGGTGGTAAAATTCTATCTTCATGGTGAGAAAATACTCCAGGACTGATTAGTTAATGGTGAGGATAGACTAGAAACCAGGCTCCTGGTCCAGCCCTCCCAGCACATGCTGAAGAACAAGGGTAATTTATCAAACCTTCAAAAACCACTGTGGAGTCCTCAATGCAGCTGCGGCAAAATTAAACAGAAATTCAAAGTGGTGCTCCTACCCTGACCCGTGTGTCTCGGCTGGGCATCGTTCTGCAAACTGAAGGGTCGCGAGTTTGCTTCCTGGTCAGGGCACATGCCTGGGTGGTGGGTTTGGTGCCCAGTTGAGGCACGTATGCGATGCAACCAATGCAGCCCTCTCATATTGATATTTCTCTCCCACACTGATGTTTCTCTCCCTTTCTTCCCCCCTTCCCCTCGCTCTAAAAAAATAAAATAAAATCGTTAACAAAGTGACACTCCCAAGGGAAATTCTAGGCGGTCAGACCAGAGCAGGGGTTCTCAAATGTGGGCTTGGCCTTGAGTCCTCTCAGATCCCTGGACCCACATGCCCAGAAATTCTGATTCAGCAGCTCTGGTGGAGAGCTGGGAATATGCATTTTCTGATGCGTTCCCAGGCTATGGTGATGCCGATGTTCCTGGCCCGGGTCACACTTTGGAGGACCCCTGGGCTGGAGGAGAAAGGCATGGAGAACCTATATTCTGGCCCCTATCTTTCCCTCACAACAAGGAAAGACATGAATCAAAACCATCACCTTTATTTCCTGGGTGCCTCTCCCGTGCGGGTGACAGAATGTGGGCATATGGCAAAGTATTCCCACCATCTTTAGTGAAAATGAGCAGCCAAGTATTTAAACACTAACACTAGCGGGGAAAGAACCTCCGCCCACCCCAAGTTTGATCCAGGTCAGTGAAAGGATTCAGTGCTTATCTTAGTCTTGACAGGAACATCACTGTCTACAGGCTGTTACTGGTTTTCATTTGTTTAAATAAAGTTCCTGATTTTAAAAGAATAAAACATTATTTAATAGATATTCCATGAAACACTCTCCCTTCTGCTGTCCTTGAAGAATCAAGTCAGCAGGAGCTCTACAGGTGCAAAGGAAATGATCTTCCCACAAGCAGCTGGGCTCCGGAAAGGACTCAGCCCCAGGCGGGCCTGTGGGCCCAGCTGACATCTTCACTGTAGACTGTGAGGTCCCAGGCAAGGGGCCCCGCTAAGCTGTGCTCCGACTCTTGACTCACAGATACTATGAGATAATAAATGGGTCTTATTTTAAACTGCTAAGTGTGTGGTAAAGCAATTGTTATACAACAACAGATAATGCATAATGGAAGAATATTTAAAGATGGAATTGAAGAAAACTCTCCAGAAATAAAAGCAGATTTGAATGTAAAGATTGAAAGAACACACCAAAATTCAGGGAAGAAAGGAACAGAATGTCAATACCAGGACATAGCCTAGTGAAATTCCTGATTTTCAAAGATAAAGTGAGAATCATTTGGGAAGCCAAATAGAAAGGTTAAGAGCATTTATAAGGGCAAAAATGCAGACTGTCCTCAGACTTTACCTCAATAACACCAATGCTAGGAAAAGCCTAGAGAGTCCCTTTGAAAATGAAAATATGAACCAGGAATTGTTTACTGTGCCAAACTGTGGTCGAAGTATAAAAATAAGAGATAATAGGTTTGAATATGCAAGAACTCAGGAAATATTATATTCATCAGGCTTCCTTGAGAAAATGCATAGGGGATAAAATTGTGCCAACCAAGAGGTGAATAGAAAAACATGGCAAAAGAACTGACAATGAGACTTAAATATAAAGTAAATATGAGGATTACGTTTATAGAACACAATGCAAATGTGATAAACTCTGACAACCCAGAAGTTATTAAACTAAGCAAAGGCAGGTGGGGGTAGGGGAAAGAGTAGTGTAGTAAACAGGAAAACAAGAAGAAAATAAAATAAAAGTGGAAATTAATAAATTAGAAAATAGGAAAAAGATAGAACTAATAAATAAGACCAAGTGGTTGTTCTTTGAAAAAAATTGTATAGATAAGTCATCAGCTAAGAAAAATAAAGAACATGCAAAACAAGTAATATAAGAAATATCTACAAATAAAATTAAAAGAATAATGAACAATTTCCTTGTTCAATTCCATGCTACAACATTTGAAAATTCAGAGAAAATGGATAATTTCCTAGGAAATGCATTATATCGTTAGACAAAAGACTGAACCAAGCCAATAGTAACAGAAGAAATATAAATGACCCCTCCCATCCTCCCCCCTCAAACCAGCCCAGATAGTTTCCAGAGGAATTCTTACTAACTTTAAAGAAGCAGACTATGCAGTGCTCCTTAGTGCCCCAGAACACGGCAGAACAAGTTTTTCTTATGAAGTGGTAAAATTCTGATACCAAAACCTTACAAAGGTAGGAGCTCCACAACGTCATTTATGACCCAGGCTCCTCCTCTCTGTGTCTCTCTGTCCTCAGCATGTAGCTTCCATCCGCAGGGTCACCTTGTGGGTGCAAATGAATGTGACAACTCCAGTCCCATGCTGTGCGGAAGAAGAGTTCAGCGGGCATCTGCCAGTTCAATACCCAGTTCAATTCCCCAACCCCCTGTCCACTGACTTCCCTTCAAGTGCTGTGGACCACAGGAGGGCTCATGGCCTCCGCCAGCAACAAGGACAGCTGGAAAGTACGCTGCGTTGCCATCCTTGCGTAAAACAGGATTTTGCCAGATAACACAGGGCCCAGTTAAGTTTGAATTTTGGATAAACAAGTATGTTAGGACATACACTAAAAAATTATTGTTTATCTGAAATTTGAATTTAACTGGAAGTCTTGGGCATCCTGTTTTTTCTAAATCTGGCAACTCTACCCATAAGTGGCCGAGTAACCGTCACCTTCATGTACTTTCTAAAAAACAAAAACAAAAACAAACAAACAAAAACCTTTGTTGCCTACATGTATCCCTAAGCATTATAGTTTAGTCTCCCCAATTTAAAAAAATAGATATATGTTTAAATCTCTTTTAATCTACAGGTTCCTTTTCCATCCTTTAATTTCCATAAAATCAATCTGTTGAAGAAGCCTAGCCTTTTGACCTGTAGATTTCCAACAGAATGGATTCTGCTTATTGCACACACCTGGTGAGGTTCAAACTTCTCCTCTATAGTTGGTATTTCTTGTAAATTGGCAGCTGGATCCAGAAACTGAATCAGACTCAGGTTCCATCTCTGGCAAGACTATGGGGCGTAGTGTGTTCTTTTATCAGAAGTCACATGTCTGACTCTCTTTTCATGATTTTAGCCCAAAACACTGATGCATAATGCCTTTATCTATTCATTGGGGCTTACAAAATGCTAGTATTCTATCATTTCATTTTTATCTATTAATTGGAATACTTTATATAAAGAGACATTTTATCTACTATTTGGTTTATCTAGTGGAATAATTCATATAGGAAAGTCAGGATAAATGCTAGATTCTCTCTCCCATTCTTTTTAAAATCAGTTTTCAAGAAAATGAAAATATCATGAATTCATGGATTTAAATATATTTGATGGGTTTCTCTCCATTGCAGTTATCATTACTGAAACTCAAACTACCTCATCCTTGACCAGTGGTATCCTCTTCAAGTTAGCTCTTGATTCTTTCTGACATGATCCTAGTAGTTTTTCACAGCTTCTTTGTAAGCTGACATTAAAGATGTCCCAAGCTTATCTTGAACATTTCCTGGTTTAGGTCTGGAATTGGCCATTACTCCAAGAAGTCTTAAGTCCAAAACTGATCCTTTGAAAAAACTAATGAAATGAACAAAGCTCCATTAAGACAGAGCAAGGATAAAAGCAACAAACACACACAAATATAAAGAAAAAAATAAAAGTGGAACGTAACTATGATTACAACAAAGATTTTAGAACTGATTGTTGGATGCTCTGGAACAGATGTATATTGAATGGATATGTAGATGAAATGCATAATTTTATAGGATGATAAAATTTACCAGAACTAAGCTCAAAAAAGATAGAAAAATGGAGATTAATTACTTAAGAAGAATTAAACTATCAGAGACTCTCTAAAAGCACCAATCCTGATCAATTTTTCAGGAAAATTCTCTCAAACATTCAAGGAAAAGATACATACTGTGTCTTTTTATACAGACATATTTATACATACATATTTTATACAAACTGTTCCAAGACAGTATAACTTTTAAAGATAAGGGTAGTTCAAGAAAGAAAAATAATGGTTGACTCTCACTCTTTAAAAAAAAAATGCAGAAAACCTAAATAAAAATAATAGCGAAATGAATTAAGTAATGTATGAGAAGAAAATCATCATGACCAACTTGGGTTTATCACAAGAAATATGAATCATTTAATGAGAAAATATATCAACTTAATTTACCACATTAACTGATTAAATGAAACAATAATGCTACTTATTAGTGCTCTCAACTATATTGTACTGGAGTTCTTAGCCAATGCAATAAGACAAGGAAAAATATATAAAAGATATAAGAACAGCAAAGGAAAAAACAAAACTTTAACTTTTCATATGATTATTTACCAAGAAACCCAAAAGACTCTATAAGCAAATTGCTATAATTAATAAGAAACTATTAAAGTAGTTAGACTTAAGACCAACATATGAAAATTTTGTTTTTATTTTTCTAGTGCTTTATTTTTCAAAATGTACAGCTAGAGGGACCTGTTGTTCACGCATCTTCACCAAAGGTGGGAAATCCCCAACTTTGGTGTTTCTGGTGTAAATTATTTGAGCTCTGTGCTTTAAAACTAATTTAGGAGTCCTTCACTAAGAAGCTCCTGAAGGGCTTCCCTGGCCAAAGACCCACAGTCCTTCAGTCTCTCAGAAACAACAGCTGGGGTTACAAGCTTATAGTTGGGAACTTCCTTACAGAGTTTGTAATATGTTGCTTTGTCAAACAAGAGTTAAGTTTTTGAGTTAAGTTTCTGAACTTTGCCTTTGGACCACTTTTTCTTTTTGACCTTGCCCTCAAATTTGTTCACTGGGTCTTTGTCTTTCTTGGCTGACTTTCCAGAATCTTTCTTCTTCTTGTCCTTGGGCAGCACAGTGAAACTCAAAGAGCAGTTACTACCATGGCTCAATAAAATATTGGACTGAAAGGCCAACATATGAAAATTAATTGCAATATAATACACTGCCTTCCCAAACTACAAAATGGAAAAAATTAAAAAGTAAGATCCTTAAGAATAAACATAATAAAATATTTTTATTGAAAGACATTAAGGCAGAATAAAATAAATGGAGAGATATATTATGCTTATGGCAAAATACACTTGATAATATATATATTGTTCTTTCCAAATTAGTCTGTAAATTCAGTGTAATTCCAACCAAAATCTCAATGAATATTTCATGGAACTTGATAAACTGATTCCATAATAGGTATGGAAGAGAAAAAGGCCAAGAATAGATCAAAAGACAGAATAATGGCCCCTCAAAGATACTGACATTCTAATTCCCAGAGCCTGTGAGTATGTTAGGTTATACCACAAAGGAGAATTAAGGCTGCCAATCAGCTGACCGTGAGATGGGGAGATGGTCCTGGATTATCTGGGTAGGCTCAATGCAATCGCCAGTGTCCTTATAAGTGAGAGAGGGAAGAAGACGACGGAGAATCAGAGGGATAGCAGCATGAGAAGGACTTATTAGCCCAATGTCGCTCACTCTGAAGATGGAGTCAAGAATGTGGGAAGCCTGTAGAAGCTGGAAGGAACAAGGACTGATTCTTTCCTAAAGCCTCCAGAAAACAATGCTGTCCTGTCAACCTCTTGATATTATCCCAGTGAGACCTATTCAGACTTCCGCACTATAGAACTAATAGTTAAGAAATTTATATTGTTTTTAAGCATTGTTTGTGGTAATTTGTTACAGCAGCAAGAGAAAACTAGTTACAGTAGATAAGATGGTTTCAAAAGAACAAAGTAGGACTTGTCCTACCAACATGCAGGTAGTGTAGGATGGGTGTTGCAATAGGAAAGAAACAGAGAATCCAGAGACAGACTACATGTGTCTGGAACTTTGATACATGACATGATAGATCACTAGGATAAGAATAAACTGCACTAGAGCTCTCCCAGCTCGGGTTTGACCTACAGCCACCTGGGAGAAGATAACCTCCCTGGCAGTTTCCAGGCTCCCCCAGCAGATATGAGGCTTCAGCACATCTGTGGCCAGGCTGTTTGCCAAGCTTGTGTGCCCATCTGTTCAGGTTTAGAGCATCAAAGGTCACTGTGCCACTGCTCTTTATTTTGCTGTATCTAAAGAGAATAAAATGGAACAAGTAGAAAAGGATGTGTTGAGTAGCACAAACCTTGAAAGAACTCAAAATGACTGCTTTGATTATGAATCCCTATGTAAAGTGTTCCATTGAAGTGAAAGCCTGAAAGACATGACCACAAAAGAGAGGTCTTCTCCCCTCACGTCCAATCTGATCAATTTGCTTGCTGAAAATGGTCACTTGAACAGACGTCATCTCTGGCTTTTCTACCAGGGCGAGTGTCCACTGTGGAGAAGTACCACGCACAGCGACCACTGCATCTCCTTTAGAGGAAGGCACTCTTTTCTGAATTACAAACAGCCCTGAACAGCTTCCTAAGTAAAAGCCAAATATTATAATCAGAAGTTAAGTTTGATCTGTCACTCATGGGTGGAATGATTGTCCGTATTGGAGAGTAATAGTTTGATATGTATGTCTGCAGAACCAAGATTCAGAAACTGAGCAAGGATATGTGGGAGGTTTTCTGAAAGTGCTGATTTTACTCTCAGTGAAAATTCTTTATTATTTTTATTTATCCTCACTCAAGGACATTTTTTCCCATTGTTTTTAGAGGGAGAGGAAGGGAAAGAGAAAGGCAGAGAGAGAAACATCGATGAGAGAGAAAAGCATCGACTGGCTGAGTGTACTTGGGCTGGGGATCAGCAGCTGGACCGGGTATCAGACCCGTACCCCAGGCCTGTGCCCGGACCAGGAATCAAATCCACAACCTTTCAGTTATGAGAGGATGCTCCAATCAACTGAGCTACACTGGCCAGGGCTGTCAATGAAAATTCTTAACCTCGGAGCAACAATAAAATGATTCCTGAACACAACATTTTTTAAAAAAGTATAAACTATAATATAAATGGTGCTTAGACAATGGACATTTTGGTAAATTGACTTAAAAAATGACAGCAATTAGTCCTGTCTCTGTCACCTGCAGAATGGATGATGGGGGAATTATAAACACAAAATTCAACGTAGTGGTTACCTGAATGGTATAGGGAAGGAGAGGGAAGGGGCGGAGGGATACACAGGACATGCACTGTATTTGTAACGTATTTCGTAAGCTAGGGGCTGGGTGCATGGCTGTGTATTAATCTATGCTCCTATTCATGTGTCCGAAAAATGTCATAAATGTTAAGTATATATAAAAAAGTGAACAAAACAATAAATCATGGCTAACCTCTAAAGAGGAACTTAGAGGTTATGATGCAGAAAGAAGTTTAAGGGCTTGAACCGTGAATATGTCCCTCACCTGGGGTTACACCCCACTGTGACTCCTTACCCTGGAAATCATTCAGAGATTCTGCCCGGGAGCTAATATAGAGAATAGATTAAAAGCAAAAGAAAACAATAAGGTATAGTTTTAAAAAATAAAGGAAGGGTTGGTAATGAAGGTTGAGGTCAAAACAAGAAACAAAACTCAAACACTTAAATACCGGTACCGCATTTCATAGGTGATATCCCCCACCCCCACCTCCACCCCGGGGGCCACCCTCAAGTGTGGAACTCTGTCCTATTGAGATAAATCTCTTACGCTTTCCTCATAGCATGACATTGGTGAGACAGCAGTTTTCCAGTGCAGTTTACACAGAGTAAACATCCTTACCAGTGATTTTAATGATCGCTGATACCAAACCACCCTAAATTCACTTTTTAAAAAAAACAAACAAAACAAACAAAAACCCCACTTTCGATAAGGACAGAGCTAAAGCAAGGAAACGATGATCCTTCAGCTTCTGCCCTCACAGCGCTACCTGGCCTAGTTCTGGGTTTCACTGGCATCGATGCAGAGCAAAGGTAAAGGGCTTGCAAACCCAGGGAAAGGGCAGGGATCCAGCTTTTCTTTAGACAAGGCCAGGGGAAAACTCCCAGTGCCTGTCCTCTGGTAGTAAGAATAACTCTGTTTTTGATGGTTTGATAATAAAGTTGCTTTTTATTGGTTTTGCAAATCTATCTCTGAGCTTTGGTACTTTGCAGTCCATAAATTTAATAAGAAGCAAAAGAAATCAATTTAACCTGTTTCATTCAAAGAACCATTTTAGCATTATTTTATTTCCGGCTCTATGTTGATATACTTCATACAGCACATTTCCTGGTGTGCCATTTTCAATGTTCGTTTTAAAAACTGCGCTCTACATAGATTTCCTATTTTCTTATTGTTGCTTCCTTTTCGTTTGTACTTAAGATATTTCCTTTGTTTACTTTTATTTCAGCCATTCAATAATGCCTCGCAAAATCTCTAATCCACTTTTTCATTTGATAGCCAAACACTTCAGAATTTTTTAAAGATTTTATCTAGCAATCTATTTATTTATTTATAGGGAGGGATAGAGAGAGGGAGAGAAACACTGATGTGCGATTGATAGGTTGCCTCTCACACATCCCCATCTGGGGATGTGGCCCGCAACCCAGGCTTGTGCCCTGACCAGGAACTGAATCAGTGACCTTTCAGTTTGCAGGATGTTGCCCAATCCACTGAGCCACACCAGT